TTTTATAAAAAAAATTGTAACAATTATAATCAAACGGAATATTATTGCTATTAAAACAATAGCCTAAAACTTGACAATGAAATTTAAAAGCATTTTGAGGTGCAGAGAAAATCGATGAAGCTTTAAACTATGTCACTTTGGAAGTGAAATTCTTTTCAATATACGAACACGAGTTAATTTTTATTAATACGAAGAGAATATATATATATATATTCTAAATATTCAGAATTTCATATAATTAATCACGGTGTAATACATGTAAATGGAAATGGAAATAATAATAATTCTATATTACAGAACATATGCATATGCTTTTAGGCAACTCACTAATTAGGCAATCACTAATTATTCGAGAATATACGAATAAAAAGTATATCTGATTGATGATAATTATTACTTCATAGTCAACAAAACTTCGTATAAGAGAGATATCTTTTTTTTTTTACCGAAACTTTTATTTTTTATCAACATCTTATTTTTTTATCGAAAACAATACAAAGAGTCTATCGACGGTAAAAAAATAAAATCCATCCATTTCTTACCCAATCGAGCCATGTTTGACCAAAAGACAGGCTCCAGGCGTCAGTCGGTTGATCCTCGGCAACAGTAAACCGCTCGATGTTCGAAAGCCCGGTCCAAAGGGCAAAAGAAACCCGAACGACCATTTCTGTGGCACGTGGAACGCACGAAAATGGCCGGCCATTTCTTCCACGCGAAGGGAGCGCGTTTCGCGAACGGCAGCACGATAAACGGCGCCTTAGAAAAAACTTCGAAGACGATACGTGTACGTGAGACGCGAGACAAACGGCTAATCTTCGACGGCGTACAGCATATAACCACGTCCCTTCGATGGCTTCGTGCGCCCTTCGAAGCGTTTATGGCGCTCCAACCCGATTCTAATTTATTTGCCCTCGGCCTCGATGCGTGCCTCGTTCGCGGTTCGTAAGTAGAATAGGACGTCGCCGGTCAGACTATTAGACAGACGACGCGTTTCACTCGCGCCGCACGAGTTTTTTTACCTCTGCTGGTCCTACACGGTACAGTTGAAACATTTCTGTTGCGTAAATTGTTTTTGCAAACGATGCTCTCGGATTTATTATTCGTTTTGGATGCTGCTCGCTTCAAAAATTGATGGCGAAATCGATCAATTACCGTTCTCGGGCGAAAGTTGGAAAATTTATTTATGGATCGTCGAGAAAATTGTAATTGAATTTTGAATCCGATTACTTTGAAAATATATTAATAAGGAATTATTAAAGAATTTAATTTGCACGAATACAAGTAAAGATCAGGGACGATCGAAATTATTTCGTTTGAATTTAAAATGCTTCGTATCTATTTATAAAAAAAGAAAAATTCGAGAAATTTCTATTTCCTATTTAATTTCCACCATTCGATGACCGAAAAATCGAACGAACGAAACCGGTAGGATAGATAGGATGTAGGAAGGGAGGGTTGGGCGGTGTGATGATTTTTTTCACGAGGCCAGATAATCATCGTTCGCCGCGGCCCCGTGTCACCGGATAGCACTTATCAGTAAGAGATTGACGGCGAGGCCTGCGAGCGAAGGCAGTCACCAACCGCGGCGCGGAAGCTCGTGGTGGGACGGGGAGGGGGCGAGGGGACGGCGGAGAGGGGCATTGGCGGTGATGCTGAGAAGCGAGAGGGAGTGAGAGGGAGGCGTGGAGGGAATGAGATCGAGCCAGACCCCCCACTTACTGTTCGCGAGTGGCGGCGCGTGTCAACCTTGCCTTGTCCTTGAAACCACGCGACCGCGACCGTACAACGAGCCAAGTCGCTTCGACGCCGCTACTAGACGCTCTTGCACGGTTCTAGGAATCAGCTGATTGACCGACAAAGGGGGAATTCCTAGAGGGTATCCGTGGCCCGATCGGATTTTCACGGCCTGCACGTGAATGTGCATGGAATTATTAATTACGCTGATGCGAGTGATTGGATTTCCTATTATCGTCTCTTTCTTTTTTTTCTCTTTTTTTTTTTTTTTTTTTGTAACACAATATCTCCAGAATCTTTAGAGATTTAGCGTTGCTTGGATTTTATTTTTAAGAGCGTGTCGATATCTATGTATCGGTTGGGATTAATTAAATTATTTGTATGAAATGTGAAAGTTACGTGGTGGATAAAATCGCATCGTTTTGAACATATTTTTGGAAAGAAGATGTAATTAGGAGGAAATGTATTTATTATTCGGTATTATTGAATGAGTGAATAACCAATTGCGCGCAATGTTGGTGAATAATATAAGAAAATTCTGATAACGATAAAGAATTGGCACAAGAAGTCCAATATATATATCCGAGTAATCTGATTACGTGAATAAACGACAAAAGTTGGCTTAAAAATGACAAAGTCGTAGCACATATCTTCACTTTCTTTCTCTATTTGATAAGTGTGTCCGCATCTAAACACGTACACACAGATAACAGACGTTCATCGTCGTTTCATATATCGTCTTATATATTCAGGTCGAAGTATCAAATCTCCTATGCATATCACGAATATGCGAAAAACGACAAGATTAGACACATAATATTCCGTAAGTAAAATTTCCGTATTAATAGTTGCATTTAATTAATTATATGACATATCGCTTTTCCACGTTTAACTGTTTCAGCGAAACATTTTTCCCGCCCAATATGTCATTCGCAATTTTAATTATTGAAGGTTGTACGAGCAGGGAACAAAGGCGTTAAAAAGTGACAGGGAAGCCAACTCGGACAACATCTACTTTACATCCAGTTTAGATCCCTTAACGCGATACAAACGACGTTACATTTTAATATAATTTCCCTTAATTTCATTGCTATATAATTTAATATAATTAAATTAATATAATATATAACTAATATAATTTCTCAATTTCGATATATAACTCCTTCTTCTACGTTCTAAAATATTCGTTAGAACGTAACCTCTCTTCGCCCGTGGAAACGTAGTCCACGTAACGGACTAGGCGCCGTATGGACTTCGAACCCGCAATTTTTTTCTCTCTCGCATATATTATTGGGACACGCAGAGGTAACGAGGACGCGAAAAATCGCGTTTGATTAAATCAAATTACCTGGTAGAAATTATGCGACTCGATTACCATCCTAATGGCGATTAGAGGCAGCCTCGGGGTGATAAATAAAAGAACGGTTTCCCCGAACGAGGCTCGGGATCGTTCACGGGATAATCATCAGCCACGTTTCGACGACTCGAAGGAACGACGATTCTCGTTTCTTGCCTCTATGAAAATCGTACGTGAGAGGTTAGGAGAGGAGAATCCGGTCAAAGCTCGGTGCCCGTATCTCGCGAGACCTGTTTGCCTCGAGATTTTACGTAACAAAAGATAACCAACTCGACAGTTAGTGCAGATAACCGGGAATTCTAATTCCCCGTGTCTGCTACTTATGCAACAAACCGGCCGGCCTCTCTGTAAAATCATCGTCATCTTTTTTTTATACCTGGAAACCTTACGCGTCGCTTGGAGCAATACACTCCGTGGCAACGATGATGGGATAAGAAGAGAGAAGAGATATACATCGTCATCGAATCGTCACGAGGCTTTTTGATCGCTCACGAGATACGTAATACGGATGGAAAATCCTCTGGTCGTTGGATCATCTCGCCGATCGTTTCCAGGAAAGATAGCCTCGAGGCCTCGAGGCCGCTATTTACTTTGACCCAGGGAAGAAGGAGTTACATATCGAAATTGATACAGGGCCCAGGGTTCACGATCGGAAATAATAAGGTGCTACCGTACAGCTTGTCATTCGGCCACTGTATCGCGTGTGCCATTTGCTGCCGCTTCTGCGCCGCAAATTGCGGTGCCAGAGACGCCACCGGCCAACAAGAGCCGCATTATGGTAATACATCGATATAGTATAGTGGTTTTTCTTGCAAAAACCAGACGCCTAGGCGACGATCCAACTTTCCTGCCGGCACTTCCTGCTTTCGTAACGAAACCATTAAGTGTTTGAATTATGGCCCGAACACCGATGAAACCGTTTTACGATTGAGCATCGATTAGAGGAATCGGTGTCATCGATGGAACAAGAGAATCTGTGCAATAGCGGAAATGAGAATCGGGAGATGGGAGTAAATATAAAAACTTCTTGGAAACCGAGAGTATTTCATTGTGAAAATACGACGAACGATATTTTTAGTAACGTAGTAAGCATCGAGACTGGTATTGAGAATTTTCCAAGCAAGAATTCCTGGAAAATTACTCACTCAGGAATTACTTGGAACAGAGACGTGATAATCCGTTATCGTTGAACAGACTCGAGAGATTAGATTCTTCGCGTTGGCTGATAACTTCTAATCCCTTACTTTCTCTCTTGTACTTTTTACGACTCGCAACGGCGGAAAATATAGCGACGAGATACGATTCGTTCGGGTTGCAGACGCCCTCTGTGATCCTTGGACAACGAAAAGGGCACGTGTTTGGAACGTGGAAGGGCCCCGAAGTTCGAGGACCCACCGCTAGGAGGCAGCATAGTCTTGAAGACCCTCGTTTTTGGCTTGGCTCGGTGTTGGCAGGGATTTTGGGACCTCGTCGGGCTCCAGAACTACGAAAGGGGTTTGTAGACCGGTTTAACTCGGAGAACCTCCGGTATTCTCCTCCAGGTGGCACCACCTCTGCGGACGCGCGCGGGCATCTCCTTTGCTCAGTACGCATTGGAAGCTGCAGCGGTGCACATGGTGCGTGAGGCCCATTTGCAACGGTTTTTAAACGTCTCGATTACCCACGACATTATTTTTCGTTTCTCTACGATGTTACGTATTCTTACGATATATCGAAGGAGTAAAAGAGAGAACAAGCAAGATGATTGCAAGATGCGTAGGGATAAAATAATTTGAAAAATAAATTTCAAGTATAATAAGGAAATTTAAAGAGATCGATTCTTGAATTGAACTTATCGACTAAATGACGAGAGTAAAGATTAAGGAAAGATTAAGGAAAGACGAGGAAATAAACGAATAAGACCAAGATGTAAGTTTTGACAAAGAGATCAATATTTATTTGATACTCTTGCAATGATAAGCGTCGATCTTCTTTCTATTCTCACGATAGAGAGGAATTATAAACTTCATTTCTCCGCACTCGATATAAATATAAATTAACGCAATCATACGTACATACGGACATGCAGCCTCTCGTATTCTCCTCTCTCTTTTCTCTCTCTCTCTTTCTCTCTCATATACGCATAATCTTAACATATAATCTACAAACTAGGCGATTTCTCGGTTAATTTTACAAACGTTCCTCGTACTTATTACAACCACGGTACACGACAAAACACTCGCTTGGCGTTTTTTTTTTTTTTTTTTTTTCTACGTACAAGAAACAGAATGGAAGACCTCGGTGATTCTTGTTGCGTAAGGCACTTAAAATACGACATTCGTTTAATGATATATACACAATAGAAACGAAATAGAACGCGAAAACATGGATAAAGGGGAGAAATGAGAAGAACGGGACGAAACGAAATGGACAGGCGTTAACGAGAAACGTAAATGGATTCAACAAAGCAATGAAACGAACTTTCTTTACTTCGACGAATACGATTCCTCTAACGAATGAGATAAAATAATATTTACAAGGCACTGTATAAGGCACTGCCTCATAGGCTACTGGCCGACTGCACGACACTCGGGAAATATCGAACTCTTCTATCCATCCAACGGCGAGAGAAATGCTTCTAGCTCGCGCGACACTTCCTTTCACCCCCTTATAACGAAAGAACACGACTTCTGAAACGCGACAGTACAGTAAGGAACAATGATCCGTGTGATCGTGACGCGGGAATCTTTTCTCCTCGAATAATCGACATACTCGGGAACCACTCTTCTCTTCCGAACAAAGCCGAAGTACATAACATATATATATATATATATATACATATACATAGATATATATGAATATATATATCACTCGAGACTCGTTACATCGTCTATTCTCACCCGCGACCGATTTGACTCCGTGTTTAAACAACGTCCAACACAAACAGAGATCCTTGGACAGACATCCTTCGCCTCGAATCCTTCGTCTTCCCTCTTTACCACGGCCTCCACGGTTTCTCCTCCACCTCCCGTACGACGCTCTTCCTCATCACTAGGGCGAGCGGTTTCTGAAGAGGCGGGCTGCTGTACACGCGGGGATCGAACTCCGGATCGCTGGTGTAACCGTTCGCAGGCGAGGTCGCGACGTCCCTGTGGCTGTTCCCGTTGGTGTAGGCTGCTGGCTGGTCGCGGAAGGTAGCTGGTGGCGCCTCGAAGGCCACAGGACTCGCCGCGGACGTGGACGTGGAGCTGGCAGAGCTCGAGGAGGACGAGGCGGACGCCGTGCTGGCCGTTCTCTGGGGGATCGGGATCAGAGCCGGCATGGGCGAGGTCGGCGCTGGGGACGAGGCTGGCGACGCGACCGGGGTCGCTTTTGCACCGGCGGGGAGCACCAAGGCGATGTCGCCGTTCTCCAACCTGGTAGGCACCAGCTGCAGGCCCATCCCGTTCGCGTTCGTGAAGAAGATCCCGTTCGATTGCTGCACCTGGATCCTCGGCGTCGCGTCCACTTGGGGAAGAATGTGCACTTGGAGCTGGGTGGTCGGTGGCGCCGGTTGCACGGGCTGCTGATTCGCCGTCTGCCCGTTGTTGTTGCTCGCCTCGACCGGGCCGAGGCAGGAGGCCAAGTGGGCCATCAAACGTCTCTTCACGGAGGCGTCCAGGCCGGGAAACCTGCCAACCTCGCCGGCGCATTCCGTGAAACCGGCGCGGAATTTGTTCAACACGTTAGGATCGGTCGCCGCTGCCAGGGCAACCTGTTGACGCTGGAGCGTTTCCAGGTGTTTCACCGTCATCTCCAGAATGTCCGCCTTCTCCAGCTTCGAGTGCCGCGCTGGCTGTAATCGCAAAGATAACGGGCCGGTTACGTAAGAGTTGCGAAGAGTTGGCACACGTTTCAGGAGTAAAAAGTTTCGAGAAGAGGGAAGGAATAACGAACTATTGAATTTGTACGAGTTCGCATTGTCGATTCAACCTCGTTCGTCGAAATTTGCGATTCGTTTCGAAAAGGGGGAGAAATTGAAGATCGGAGTACCGATCGAGGTCGAGAATCGGAAATTTGCAAAAAATTACGCGTTACGTTGAAAATCGTTGTTACTTACGTCTTTTTTCATGGCATCTAGTATGAGGGTCTTCAGATCGTTTAGGCAGTTGTTAATGCGGGCACGTCTGCGCTTTTCCATAATCGGTTTATTACTCTGTAACAGAAACACAGAACCGCTACGTCAGACACAAATATTTCAAGCTAGTTCCGATTTCTAATGTTAAAACGCGGGGTTTGGGCAACGTTGCAAAATTCGTCCGAATACTTTGTTGCCATTTCTTCTTCGGCGTGAACAAGGACGGACAATAGAACATCGACGAGGCCAATCGAGTGTAATATAATTCGTCGACAATTCTATTTCTCGAAACTTTTTGAACTCTTTCAAATCAATTCTCGATTCTCTACTATATATATATATATATTTTCTGATCTTCGTCAAGAAGACAATTCTATTTCTCGAAACTTTTTGAACTCTTTCAAATCAATTCTCGATTCTCTACTATATATATATATATATATTTTCTGATCTTCGTCAAGAAGACTCCGATCTCGAAAAATGCTCGAGCTCAACGCGACTTCGATCGCGCTTTCGACCCCATTCTTTTCAAGCGGCGAAGCAAATCAAACAAATTCCTCGGTAAATTCGTTCAAAGACACTAACCCGTCGATTCTCCCCAGATCTTCTCGTGGTCGTGGTCGTGGTGGTGGTTTGGGCAGGGGGTTGTCCAGCCTCCTGGGGCACGTGTTGCGCCGGCGGCGTAGCACCGACGGTGACACCGCCTGTCGGCATCGTGGCACCCACCCCGGTCACCATCGTACAACAACAAGTTTCTCTTGTTATCACAAAAAAACGAGATCAACGAGAATTCGACAAACTGTTCGCCACAATTTGCCGTTGTTTCCTGCTACACTGCACTGGTAATCCAAAAGAGTAGCGTTATTACGCTGTGTTTATTCACTGCACGCCTGGCCAGGCTGGCAATCGCGCTTGTGATCCGCCAAGCCGGACGACGGAACGATGAAAGGTTAAGGGTTGTTTTCTGCTCTCTCTCGAGAGAGAGAGCGCGCGAGAGAACGTACCGCGGTAAGGGAACGTACTGTGTAGTACCCGTATACTACTGCTTGCTCGCTCGACTGAGTCTCTCTATCTCTTTTCCTCTCTGTTCTTCGCCTCACTGAACTCCGACCACTCGGAACGGGCGTCAGAGCACGACTGACCGAGCGAACCAACGACGAACGTCTTCTGTCGTCTCGTCGAAGCGTGCCACCCGATGGAATGCCCGGCGGAGGCGCTGCCACCTTAAGGGTGGGGGCGACCAGCCGTCAGGGGAGGGGATAGCGCGTGACGGTTAACCTGGACTTCCCTTCCACCACCCGAATTCCGACGGTCGGACGGCACCCGGTTGCCTTTAAGAGCCCCCACCCAGGGTTAGAACCCCCTCCTGAGCGGATCTGAACCGACGACCGTGGCGGCTTGCCTCGCGCGGATCCCCCACCCCGACCGGGACTCCGGGGATCGATCGGATTTTTCTGCACTGTCATCCACCGTTTTTCCCTCCTTTCTTCGATCTTCCTCTTCGATCTCTCTTTTTCCCTCTCTCTCCCTCCCTCCCTCTCTCTCTCTCTCTCTCTTCCTCTCCCTTCCCGCTTCCTTTCTTTTCGAAACGCGCCAATTTCGACCCCTGGGGCGTCGGTTATCTATCGTTCGAATTTTGCGAGGGATAGGAAGAAATTTGCAATTCCAAACAATGGGATTAAGGAAGATTAACGTGTAATAATAATAATAATAATAATAATAATAATAATAATAATAATAATAATAGTAATAATAATAGTAATACTTGGTTTCTGTGTAGGAAGGAAAAGGAGAGCGCGCACTTTCGAGCACGTTCGATCGGAATATCGTAAGTGCATACGATGCTCGGTGCGAAAAAAGAAAAATTAATGAAAAGTAAGGAAGGAGTAAACAATGGGTGAGGTCAGACACGAAATCGTGGCTGGATCGTGAACGAGAACCGATAAGGAACAATGCCGGCTCAGTGTTTTCCCGGGGAGAGGCGATTAGTCTCGTGACGCGTATCGCTTGTCGAAAGGTCATTAAAACCGGCTGGTCGCGATCGAGGGAAGTGGCAATGGTAATTTCTAGACAGGGACGCACGTACACATTGAACGGGCACGAACGTCATCGGGACTTATATCACGTTCTTCGAAAATAGCCGAGTGCCACCGTGCGTCGAGTGCGGACTGACGCACGCGCGCACCACTGGCACGTGCCTCCTACTCCCTCCCCGAGTCTTTCGAAATTACTCTTTCTACTTGTGCGACCGATTAAACGCGCGCCACGGCATTTATCTCGGCGCATACGTGCACGTATGCCCGGCACGAAACGCGGATACGTTGTATTTCTTCCGATATGCCGTGCAACCGTTTCGTTAATTGATATCGGATCCTATAGAACCTGATCCGGGTTCGAGGTCGTAAGTTTTTCGTGAGCTATGAAATTCTTGATTGATCCGCTTCCAATTTTTACTCTCTCCGATTTCGAATGGAAAATTTTGAAAAGAAATTTTTAGAAAAAAAAAAAAAAAAAAAAGGAAAATGATGGACAAATTACGCGTTTTAAAGATAATTGTGGGTTATGGATACGATGTGGAATCCGTAATGGGATAAGTATTACTCTTGTTGAAGGAATTTTGAAATCTTTGTGTTTTTTGTAATTTTATAATTCTATAAATACGTCACGACGAAACACATTTATAAGAATATGGAGGGGGGATTAATTGGATTTATTACCACATTACGTGACGAATTATAAAATTCGTTTTTTTTTACACTCGTGGAACAAAATGTTGTTCGAACGAAAAATTATACGGGCAAATGGATATTCCCCACACTCTATCTCCGGGAAATACCAACGACCCCGAATAGTCGGAGATTTTTCTGCGTAGAAAACGTCGCATCGCAATACCCCGGTTCCTATTCCATTTCCGCAACAAGAATCGCGTTTCCTCGATAACGAATCGCTTAGCGAAGCGTCACTCGAACCAACTCGTGTACACCGATTCCCCGGCTATCTGCTGGGAGTATCTCTAGCTGAGAGCACGGACGTGTCAAAGGCTCGGCGGGCAGATAATCAGCGGAGCCGGCGCGCGGATGGTTCCGGCGCCGAGTGAAGTCAGCCAAGTATTCCAATCGCTGAACTCTGCCGGTCTACAAAGGGTGGGAAACGGGCAAAGCGTGTAAAAGGGCGACTGGGAGGGGGAAGCAAGCCCAGGAGTTCGTAGAAGCGCGCCGTAAGTGCGACGAGGATCGTTCCGAGGATCGTGCTCTCTCGTCTCTCTTCCTCGAAACGAGACGAGAGAGGCCGAGTCGTGCAGTGGTTGGGGGTAAAAGATCGGCAAAGGACGAAGGGACTCACCCTTGCGAAGGTCGAACGAGGACGGAGAAGCATCGCGAGCTACGAACCGACCAGACCCACGGGAACGACGCTGCTCGACTGCGACTGCGAGCGAGACGAAGAATCGGCGGCCGCCAATCACGTGACCGAGATTCGACGCGGCGTACGACGAACGAGCGCTGATTGGCCGCGCGCTACCCCCTCCACGCGCGCCAGCCGAGGACGAGCGTGCCGCGCGCGACGGTTGCGTGGGTGGTGGGGGCGCGATCGTCATTCGACTTTGAGCGGCGAAGCGATGCGGCCGTGTCGCGGCGCGTGGGTCGAGGCCCTTCGGGGCCACTCGATCCCGTGGAATGCGTGGGGGAGAAAAAGTGTGCGGCGTGTCGGGGCCCGGCCGAATACCTGTGGCCTCTGCGATACATCCTCGAGTTCTCGTTCGCTCGCTCGTGGAAAATTGGGCGGCCAACGTGGGTGTGCGTTGTCCGCTCGAGGGGAATCGAGGGCGCGCTCCGTAATCGTCGAATCGAATAGATGCATGTAGAGAATGTAGAGAATGGAGAGCGTGACTCGATGGATCGATGGAGGGAATATCGAGTCGCGCCTCGACTACGTCAGGTACTCATCTGTAGGATAGGGAAGGCAGGAATTTGTAATTTGAAGGACGAATGGCATGAGAATACGATGGTTCTAAATTTGAAAAGTTGGTATGGAAAGAAAGTTGATATTTGTTGGAAAAGTTAGGGAATCTTAATGGTGTATAGGCAGGTAGAGAAACGAAATCGTAATAACGGGCATGTTTGATTTATGACGATCAATTCTACTTATAATATCTTATAATAACTGTAGAAACATCTATTTATAAAGTTTTTTATACTTTTATATTTTTATTCGAGATATATCGAATTTTTTTTTGTTTTTTTTTATGTTCTGTTTTTTTTTTTTTTTTTTTTAGGTATAATTTACATTTTACATACAAAGATATTGATTCGATAACAGTACAAGTTCAATAAAGTATAATGAAAATGTAACGTAGGATGTTATGTTGGATGTAGTATAGGTGGAGCAAGAAGGGTGAACGAGAAGAGGAGATGCTCTGATAGAGTGCTACCATCTGTTGGCGATTACAGTAGGTTTTTTCTCAGAGTCTCCGACACGCTCGATCTTTGCAGGATCAACGGAATGCAAATTAATCGATTTTATTCAAATTAATTCACTTTTTATTTGCATTCGATTTCAAATTTCATCGTATTTGCAATTCTAATCGATTCTGTTTAAATAATTAACACTTGTGATGTACCGTAGTAAACTGTAATTATTGATTTTTTTTACCACGTGCGATTACATGGAAACAATATTTAGATGAATTTTTTCTATTTTTTTTTTTTTTTCTTTTCTTTTTTAAACCCAGCTGTGATATAATCGATCAAGGTAAAATATTTCTCGTTTCTTACGTGTTCGATATCCTCTTGAGTCTCTATGAGTCACAGAAACGTCTAGAGTCTAGACAGTCTACAGATAAGGATCGTAATACTTTGATATTACACATGGTGGGTGTTAATCTCTCAATAAATTCTGCCACGTTGCGCGTATCACGTCGAAATTCTATTCGATACACAATCAGCTTTCATTATTACTTTTCAACGTTTCCATTCGCATTTGCATCCAGACTTGAAACACCAACTTGATACCCCATGCAAATCCCTTTCTGCATAACAACAATTGAATATCTTCTGTGTCAGTGGTCAAATGTATATTTGTATATTTCATACGTATATTCATTTTCAAATATTCTACGTTTACGTCATCCATTTTTGTATTGAAAGCACGAATTTTTATACTTTCAATAACAAAATGATGATCACAAAATGGAAAACATAATTTCTAAAAAAAAATATGTTTCCTTAATCCTCCAACAAATTTTAATACGGATCTGTATATATTTATTTTTAAACGATAAACTGTTCTTCGAGTCTCATTTCATTTCGAGTATTTATGCAAATGTATGTATAAGTCATCTAGTAACTTTTTCCACGCAAGATAGTTATCTTTGTCACCTAACCTTCGATTCAGTCACAGAGCGCCACGTTCCAACTCGTGGCCAACATTCGAATTCGGCTATCTCGTCGAAGATCGATCTCCATTCCATCACGTGTTTAAAACACACACACACACACACACACACACACACACGAGTGACTCGATAAAGCTGCTTACTCGAGATACGCACCAAAGCTACCTTAATTCCTCGATACGTATCCCTTTTGAGAAAACGTTCCCGTTACAAATGTCTTCCTATTCCTTTATTGTATTTCCTAAGTACGATCTTCTTTCGAAAAATTTACCTCTGCTTAGCCACACGATTAAAGAGTCGTATTAGCACAACTTCCTTTCGAAACTTTATCTCCGCTTACCTTTGACGATTAAAGTATTGAAACATACGTATCCTCCGACATGATCTTCTTTCGAAACTTAGCTGCGACGATTAAAGTATTGGAATATAGCGATGACAATGGGGGTCAGACTTCCGCAAAAGCTATTAGAGCGTCTTAACATTCTATGGCGGTAGTCTATGATGTGACTCATTAGCCTTATAGAGTGCCGGTGGATTACGTAGGTCTTGACTGGTGGCCAGATAAAGGCGTACACGAGGCATACGCCTTTGGCTCGTAGCGGATCGACATTAATATTCGCTCCCCTTGCGTCGAAATATCAGATTAGGGTGTCCGCAATCCGCTTCCGCCGTCTTCCGTATTATTTATTTGCATATTGTAGGAAATAAAAGAGTGCAATGAGTGGAGAGAATGAGACGAGTATTTTAGAAGTAGCATTTAGACATCTTTCGAGTCAACAGTTCATCGTAGATTCGATGATTTCTTTTTGTTTTAATTGTTTTGTTTTATATATATATGGAAAAATAAGATAGATTTGAAACGTTAAAATCTTTAAAAATTATCTTTTATTAAATTGCTTCCTTCTTCGAATATTATTGCAAGATTATTATCACAGATGATACAATCTGTAATCGATGTTTGATATTTTATAAAGTTGGAATAGAGGTAGTAAAAATCAAGAGTGAATCATAGATTAGTATCTCGAATGAACGGGATTGATCTAATATATCGCGGAAAATATTTTTTTAATTTTAAAGAAAAATAGTAGACGAGTGAGCAATTTCTTCAGAATTAAAAACGTTTCTAATAAAATAGTAATGTAAAACTTACTTATTCTTCGTATTATTTTATTTTGAAACATTGAAGTAATGTTCAAATTTAAATAAAATGAAGTTAAAAAGATAAATTTTTCAAAAACAAATATAAAAATAAATACAGGGTAAATAATTTTTATGGATAAATGAATAATCCTTTGAATAATCATCGAAATTGGGAATTAAAAAAATCGAATCTCGCTTCTAACTTTTGATAAAACGATCTCTATTCCTAGATAGGTTTATATTTCGTGAAAATTTATCGCAGTTAAAGGCAAAGCGTGAAAATAACAAGTGCGAGTTATATGGGCAAGCATCTGCAGTTTTTCTTTTTCCGATAAAATTATACTCTTCGTTCCTTGGGGCTTTTTCATTTACATTGAACCATGCTATGAATTGCTACGCTTTAAATTCTCTCTCTCTTTTTCTTTTTTTTTTTTTTGTATTATATTTCCATTTTAGAAGATGAAATTCAGATTTTACCATAAAATTATATCATGTAAAAATGTATGGATTAAATTATTGCAATATTGTTACCTCTTCATTCATTTCTTCGTAGAAAAATTCAAAATACTCGAAATAATTTACTATGAATAAACTATGAATAAAACATGAAACTCAAAAATATTGTTTTCAGAAAGATACTTGACTTCAAATCTTCGAAACATCGAATTCAAAATATTCATTTTATTATTTTATTACAATACAATTATTATTTTCATCCGAAATATTTTGCTTCGTGTTCAATCAAAAATTGAACAAATTGTCAAACTTCCCATCAAATATTCTCGTCTACATTACGCGAAATTACATATAATTCTCATCAAATTGAAACCATCTTATCTCAAACAACTTCGACTCGAATAACTCAACTTAAACGATCTCAAACTTCCCTAATCCAAGCGAGGCTTTACGTGCTCTCAACACGAGAGAGAGAGAGAGAGAGAGAGAGAGAGAGAGAGAGAGAGAGAACGGAACCAGACCTGTTGATAACATCGCGCGACCAATCAATTTCGAACCACGCGAAACATTGAATCGAGTTTCACTTTAAGCAAATTATCCTCGTACATTCCCTAAGGACAATTCCCGTATCCTCCTGCAAAGTCGAGTGACCCTAACGAAATCTCCTTCTTGTTTCTCGATAGTTATCGAGTTTTCGATGCATATAACCGTGCACGATGACAGCCTAAATAGATTTCTAAACAAAAAATCACTTCCACTCTCCGCACGAGATCTCTCCGCAATTTTCTGGCAGCAGCGCCGTTTTATAACCCGGATCATTACACCATTACATCCACTTTGGCCACCTTTATTGAATCTAATAATGCCTATTAACCCTTATTTCGATATTCGAAATTCTAATCTTTTGCAAGTGAAATGCAAAGCATGATAATAGAGAGAAACAGAGAGAGAGAGAGAGAGAGAGAGAGAGAGAGAGAGAGAGAGAGAAATCTGTAATTATGAAATTGCGAAAGAAACGATTCGTTTCTTTTTTTCTACCTCCATTCTTTTCGTTTCATTAAAAATGCATTTCTAAAATCTAATATTTTTATTTTATTCTACTTAAAGAAGATTATAAAATTGGACGTGGCAAGAGCGTACAGGATTAGCTCTTCCCTTGTTCCGTATTTGCTTAACCGATAATAGGGGCAAATTGTTGGCCTGTCAGTCAGATAGAGTGAACGCGTGCACACAAGGGAATCAAGTGCACGCTGCGTGCCAGTTTTATGACTCGCCCGGGGCTGCCAATCAGACGCGTCGTTCGAATCGCATCCACGATAGGAATGGCACGCGCAATTTTCGGTGCTCGATTTTTCGAAACCAGGCCTTCGCGCGTATCAATCTGAAGGATCGATACCGACGTATGGATTCTATTGAAAGAAATACGCGCTAAATGGCGTTGCATCGACAGGGATGACCCGTTTGTCGACCATGAATCACGGATGTGTTACGACGGGGTGCCATTTTGATTCTGAACCGAGAGAACGGAATCTTGATTCCGTTTCATTCGTTGGAAATCGATTAAATTTTGTTTGTTTTTTCTTTTTTTTTGTATATAAATGCTTTTCTGTATGTTGTTGAGTAAATATTATCGATCGTGCACAATTTGAAAAAGATTGAAACAGATTGAAAATTGTTGTTGAATGTTATTGTTGATACTTAGAATAATATTGTTGACTATAATTTTATTGGTTATTAATTAAAAAATTGAAGAAA